CAGAGCCCTTTCTGCAGTGACACCATTCAACAAGGAGCCTGTGTCAGGGACGTTTTAAGAGCAAGGAGCAGAATACAGAGCTCAAACAATAAAGTTATTTCATATAAAGGAAATTTTAGTTTAGAGGTGTCTGACTTCAGGGGACATTCGAACCAGGAGCTTAAGTATTTCGACAAGGACAGGTGGATGGAGGGCCCTGATGAGCTGAATCCAGACCCTGTGACCCCCGGGATCATGTGTGAGACTCACATAGAAATAAGGGCTGTTGGAGACAGGGAAAGAAGACACTAGATGCTTACAGAGCCAACAAAAAATCACTACAAAATCAAAAAAAGGACAGAGGTATTATGTGATCTGAAGTCTGAATGGTCTAAGGTCATAGCCAGACTATGTTCATTTCAGGACAATCAGGATGGAGGACTGGGTTTGGGGTTGAAGCCAGAGGGAGCTCTGGGACTTCTTGTTTGACAACAGACCTTACGTAATTAATCCCTGTGCCCTGAACATTCTTCCTGTCTGTTCAGAGGACAAGGCTACATTCTTGGGATGACCTAAGACTCCCACTGGAGGGCCTGGTAAGGTGGATGGTTTTGCTGTTTCTAGCGGATGGGAAAAGGGAGGGAGTCTGGGAGAGCTGCCTGGCCAGGACCTAGACCTTCTCTCTGGACAGTTGTCTTCCTTGGTGAGCTGGTCAGGGGTCAGGACCCTGTACCCTGTCTCTCATAGTCAGTAGGACTCGAGGCTCTACTTCTTCTTCTTCACAGACATCAATCTCTTCCTCTTCTCCCCACTGCCAACCCTCAGCTCAGGTGTGAGTCTCCTGGTGTCTGGGCCACCACTACAGTTTGCAAGCTGGTCGTCCAGCCTTGCTTCTTACCTGTTCCAGCGCATCACATGCCCTGTGCCAGGGTACTCTCCTCCAATACCAATTCTGTCATATTTCATTCTCCTGCTCGAAAGCCTTCAGTGAGCCCATACTCACTAAAAGCAGGAGCAGGTCTAGGCTGCTAACCTGGGTTCAAATATCACCTCGTCTGAGACCCCTTCATGGGGTGATCATTCTTGCTTCCAAACCCCAATAGCACTGAGTATCTGTCACACTTAGTTGGAACTGACCATTTTTCCTGCTTTCCATTGTGAATTTTGGTTTTATATTTCGTTGTCTCCTTACTCTGATTCCATGATCGTGGAAGACAGTGGTGTACATATCTATCACTCAGTATACAGCTCTGTGCCCTGTACATAGTGGATAAACAAATAGTATTAATTCACTGGGGTTAGACTCTTGGGCTTGGAATCTTGGTCACTTAAGACTTTCTTCTTACCACATTTTTAAATCTCTAGAAATATAGGTTCAAATTATGAGATAGGAAGAAGATAAATGGGAGACATTTTCCTCCCCCTTTCTTACAATTAATTTTCCTTGTCTGTTTGAGTACATATCAGCATCAATAGCTAGCTCTGACTTAATTTACTACAAGATGACTTTAAAACCTAACCAGTGTGCATTCCTAGAACTCAAATGGGCGTATGGATTGAAATACCAAATTTGTCATGTCTCCAGCATGCAGGCTCAGAGGAGGATCTCAAAAAACAAAACACACACACAAAACATGGGTTTAAGGCCCAAACAATTTTAAATGGGAGTTTTTGAAGCATTAAAAAATTTCACAGGAGTGTCCTTTGTTGACTCTCATCCATTTAACTATTCTGTAGTTATGAGGCCAAAATTCACTGTTTGAAAGGTCTCAGCATCCTTGTCTTGAAATGGGCTGGGTGCATGTTTGGGGCTTCCCTAGCAGGGATAGATTTCAAATGGTACAGACTTCGGCCTTGGACAGTAGGAAATGAGGCTCCTTCAGTGACTTTTGGCTCGGGTAATGTGACACGGCCACTTGATGGGAATTGGAGGTACCCTGGTGGAGGAAGAGCACAAAATGGAGAGAGTCAGGTATAAACCTGCCACTTGGAGTTTTCCTGTAACTTAGGTTGGTCAAATGCTGAATCCCAGTTTATGTTCAAAACAAATGGAACCTCATTCTGTGACCAAAATAGATTGCTTGTTTTTATTGTTGATAAAGAGGCAGCCAGGCAGAAGCTGCCTTCACTCAAAGGGACCAAAATGAGGGAGTCCCTTGGCAGGAGTGGAGAAATAAAAGGCAAAGCACTGATAGGCCCCCTCCCCACCGCATCCCACCATAATTATTCTTGCTGTCCTTCCTCCTTCTGCAGTTGAACAATTGACTAAAAGATTAATACATAAAGAACCCCTTCCTGGGCTTCCTTGGTGGCACAGTGGTTGAGAATCTGCTTGCTAATGCAGGGGACACGGGTTCGAGCCCTGGTCCGGGAAGATCCCACATGCCGCGGAGCAACTGGGCCCGTGAGCCACAATTACTGAGCCTGCGCGTCTGGAGCTTGTGCTCTGCAATAAGAGAGGCCACGACAGTGAGAGGCCCACGCACCGCGATGAAGAGTGGCCCCCGCTTGCCACAGCTGGAGAAAGGCCTTGCACAGAAACGAAGATGCAACACAGCAAAAATAAATAAATAAATTAAACCACATTAGAGAATGGCTGAAAACACTTCAAAAAAAAACCCCTTCCTTTCTGTTATTACAGAGAGGCTGTGGAATTATTTTGTCTTCACCTTGGTGGGTGGGTGGGCTGGAAGGAGTGGTGGTGCCTGCAGGAAAGTGGACACAGCAGGGGCAGAGCCTGAGTCTTCCTGTGTCAACGGCAGGACATGTGTTTACCGAAACGTTTATGCACACAGAGACTCACATATTTGGTCCTGCGACACAAAAAAATCCTAATTGTTTTTATGGGCTGAATGGTGTCCTCCCCAAATTCATATGTTGAAGCTCTGACCCTCAGGACCTCGGCATGTTACAGCATTTGGAAATAGGGCCTTTAAAAGAGTAAATAATGTACAATGATAAGAGTAAATAAGGGTCATATGGGTGAGCCCTAATCCACTGTGACTGGTGTCTGTATAGAAAGAGGAGATTAGGACACAGACACGCACTGAGGAAAGACCACGTGAACACCTTCATCTAGGACTTTCGGCCTCCAGAACTGTGAGAAAATAAGTTTCTGTTGTTTAGGCTTCCCAGTGTTCGGTACTTCGTTATGGCCACACGAGCAGGCTGATACAACTGTCAAGAAAGAGCAGAGGGAGAGAGAGAAACAGACTTAAAATGGAAAAGCACAGCTTCGGGGCAGCCCTGAGTTTTATTATGAATGAATAAAAGAAGGAATCCGTTCATCCCTTCAGTATACACTTTTATTTCAGACCCTTAGAGGGTGGCACGTAGCAGCTGGAAGAAGCCCTCCCTTTCATCATCCCCAGCAGAGAAAATGAAGCATATCAGGGAGGTTTAATAACCTGTGCTCTGTCTCTGGGAGGCAAGGATGAATCTGGGGATCCACCGATCACTGCACACATAACCATGACCACTGGAATTAAATAACTATTATCTTTTCATATTTTCACTGAACCTGATCTCGCAGAACCAGTGTTATCCCCGAACTTTATGTCCTCACTTTGTATATAGCCCTGGCTTGAATTGTGAGTGTTCAAAATAGATAAAATATTTAATATCTTTTTATTGCCCCTCTCAGCAACGCGCAAGGGCCTGGCTGGCCTCGCGCATGCTGTATGGACGTGCGGCTCGCTCACTTAGCTGCTCTTACCAGCTGCTTTGCAAATGGCTCTAGCAGGTGGTGCAATGTCGGCGGGGGGGGGGGGGGGGGGGGGGGGGGGGGAGGACTTGCAGTCTGTCCCTGGAGACTTGGCGAGCGTCTCTGGGTAAATGGGTAAAGTACCATCTTGTCGGCTTGAGAAGCTGAAGCTCCCCACGCCCCCCTTCTTGAGCTTATTTCTCCCTTCTGACTCATGTCTGCTGCCTCATTTGAGTTACTGTGCAAACGTTTAGCCAAGAAGCCATACCAGGCCTTGCGCTTATTTACGACCCCCCCAGGGAGTCACAGGGAGGCACTGAGGAGGATTCCATGCCGAGCTTTCTGGTCAAATAAGGACAAAGTGAACCACGCCTTCCATTCTTAGCCAGTGAATTGTGTGCTTCAGCATGCCGTGTGCTGGGCGCAGAAGCCTCCCCCAGTGCAGGTTGATCCTTTCCTGGCTCCCCAGTGACCCCAAAGTCGTAGAGCCGTGAATTAGAAGAGAGAAGGGCGGAATATTGTGCCGGGACAGACGGTGCTGGGGGAGAAGAGGGCCCCCTGTTTGCTCCCCTTTCTGAGTTTCCTGCAGGAAGTTGATTGTTCATTCTAAGGCAAAAGTGCTTTTGCCATTGTGTATGTCCTATTTGGCAGCAGGAAGCCTTTTAGAAAAAAACCCTCAAAGAGGGGCATGAAACAATGCAGTCAGTCTAAGACATATATGTGTGTACGTGCACACACATGCACGCACATCCAAAACAGAGCCCAAAGGAGTGGAGCTGCCAAACTGGAGGAAGGACCACAGGAGAAATCAACCTCAGTGGGGCGATTTGAAAATCAGGGTGGCCCTGGCAGGGTTCCGCACTTGAAAAGCCTTCAGGTGTGCTTGCCACCAGCCAGAAAATTTGCATTTGCTCTCTGTGACTCAGGCCTGCTTCTTCACCTTGTGAGTGACACAAAAACTCCACACACCTGGCCAGGAGGACTTTAGGATCCAGTGAGGTGGATGGGTACTAATTAAACAAAAAACAGCTCTTCTGTAGTTCAAGACCAAAAGCACAAATGGTCAACACTGGGGGTAGGGTTTGATGACCAGGGGAGCAGACCCTTCCAGAAGTTCTGATGCTGTGCTGTTATCCCATTAGCTTAGTAAACGATAAGCCTAACATCTAAGAAGTAAGACCTACTGTGTGCAAACCCCCAGGTAGCAGGCTGTCTAGTGGAAATAGTGTCAGCTAGGACTGTTCCACCTATCAGCCCTTGCATGGAGACTTGCCTGTCTGTAGAAGGGACCTAATGCTACCAGCTGTGTACTTTTCAGGGTGGCCAGGAGGAGAGAGCAAACAAAATAGTGCATGCTGGTGCTTGGAACACTGTAAGTGCTTTACAAGGCATCTGAAGACAAGAGGGTAAGTGAGCTTCCATTTCCTCCTTATATATTGGTGCGCAGCACATACTTGGATAATCATGATGGGGAGGGTTTTAAAGGAATCCCTCTGGGGTAGAGACGGAGAATGCTTCTTTATAAGCTTTTATAAATATTTATAGCTAAAATAAAAGAGCAAAAGGAAAAGGAAATAGACCCTAGGCTTCCCATAAATATTTTCCCATCTCTTGGTCCTTTTTCTTAGAAGCATCTCTTTCTGTCCCATCCTCTCCAGCCCCAGCCCCTTTACCTGCTGCTCCTGGCTTGCCTCCAGGGAAATTCCTCCCCTCCACCCTCCATTACAGCTGTCCACAGGGGAAGGATTCCCCACTCTGCTGGCTTGGAGAGGTAAAAAGGGCCCACTGATGGGAGCTGTTTCTCCATCTCTTTAATCAGCTTCCATCCCCGTGCATGGTTTTATCAAGGAGCCTCTCTGACACACATGCTTTCACAGCTTGGATAACGAGGGCTGGCTCTGCCTCACTCCCCTTCCCACCCTTCTTCTCAGTGCCCCCCACCCCCACCGCCTTCCCTTCCCCTGCCACATGCTTTATCTAGAGAACAGCCTTCAGGAGCACTGGGGACATCCCCATCCCCGTCATCAGGGTCAGGTGGCTGTGCAACTTGCAGGGAGTGCAGACCCTTGCAGGCAGCGTGGCTGAGATGTGAATTCCCTGCATGTACATCACGGATACACTGTGAAGAATCCTCTTTGGGGGAGGGGAGAGGGATAGGAGGAAACAAAGGAGGACAAAAGAAGAAAGGTGGGCAGCTCAGGACTGCACCTCTTTATTGTTCATTTCCAAATGAGATGGCGAACCTCCGTGAAGTCCATAGGGGATGTGTCTGGCATGAGTCAGCAACCAGTACAATTTACTGCCAGTTGATTAAATTAGCATTTGTTATAAGCCAGAAAGGAAAGGGGGAGGGTGTTGTGTGCAGGGATAGATGTAGAATGAAGAAAATCTTCTTCATGCCTTTTGAATTATTTATGGCCTGGAACATTACATGCTAAAACCTAACCAGACTTGATAGAGAGAGCCTGAGAAGGATTCTCTCTTCCCTTAAAGCCACAGAGCACATGCTTTTGGTCCCTTGGAGGACTAGGAGAGTGCTAACAATGACAGGCTAACAGTGAGAAAGTGGAATTCCTAATTTTATTGTGACCTTGAAAACAGAAATGCTGCTTCCACCAGGCACAGGAAGACTTAGGTTTCTCAGTAACCTTGTGAGCTACGGACATGAATGTGTGACTGCGTTTCACTTTGATTTTGCGAACTGGGAACTGGGATGACTGTCAGATCAGTGGACAAAGGATAGGTCTCTTCGATCTTTGCCTCTGGCTTCCAGCCAGATGGGAGAGAAACAAAGACTCTGGAGCCTCTGCCTTCGTCCCCGACTCCTCTGCCCGCTCCCTCCTTTTCTCTCCTCTCAGAGCCGATCATTTGGATAGAGTCTGCTGACTGCTCTTACATTTTGGGAAATCTTGTCTAATTGTTTAGGGTGTAAAATGAAGTGATACAGTCTCAGAGAGGGGCCCTCCTTTTGGACGATGTGTAACGCAGAAGAGAGAACTCCATGCTGGGTGTGGGTGCAGGGAGCTGGGCAGGGGGGCGGTGAGTGTATGCTCAGGGGAGAAGCGTGTGTCAGACACCCAGCGGCTCCAGCTGGGTACCGAGGTGGCCTGGTGAGCATCTTTTGTTCTTGGCTGTCTGACTGCTGGAAGCAGCAGGACAGCCCACTGTTCGTCCTTAAGGTCTGAAGCTTTTGTCTACGAGCCCCAGTAAAACGACAAACTGTTGGGATCCCCCTGTAGATTCATGGCCTGCCCCCAGAATAGCTTGCAGGATAGGACTCCTTCTTTTCACCTGAACTGTTGCCCATGAACCACACCGTAATCAAAGGTTTTCACTGAACTAAAGCATCCAGGGGCATGTGACTCTTCCCAAGAGATACTAGAAGACAGGAGTAAGGGAAGAGTGGCTGAATGAGGGAAAGACAAAAGCAGCGTGGCAGATAACAGGGACTAGAGTCAGACAAAGAAATGGGACATGTGCTTTGGCAAAAAAAAAAAAAAAAAAACAGGGAATGCAGTCATTTCCATGCTTCATCACTGCTAGCTCAATTTACCCATCAGATAAATACATTAAAAAATAAATTGAGTCCAAGGCTGACCCTTTAGTAAGAACTAAATCATTTCTTCCAATTCTTAGTCTAAGTCCTATATTTTCACCTGCATACAAATGAAACAAAGCAGGTGGTGTCTATTGCAGTCTGAGTAAATGAGGAACACCCACATTTTTCTCATGGAAAACAGACAGGATCATAGTGTTGAATGGGAGTGTGGGGTTTTCCCTCCATCCCCATTTCAGCACCAAAGGGGATCCATGTACCCCTGGCCACAGCGGAAGGGCTTGGACCCTATGGCCCACATACCATGCAGGGCCCACCTCTCCCATAGCTACACCAAGAAGTAAATCGAGGTCATTTTCATAACTGAGGCAAAACCTCCCTTTCCACTAGAATTACTGAGATATTTTAGTCAAATGCAGTTTTCAAAAAAATTAAATGGCAGAATTTGCGTTTGGGAACTCATTAAAAAGCAGCGAGACTTCCTGTATTGCATCAATTATAAATAATTTGGAGGAAAGAGGGTTTGCTTTTTTCTTTTAAAGAAATTATCTGGAAAATTACCCAGGTCTTCGCTTCCTCTTTTCAGATGAGATCTGGACAGATCTGTGTTAAATTCTATAACCTAATTAAGGATGGGTCTAGATGATTAAAGCAGGGGAAGAAACCAAGAAGCCCAAAGTCTGCCCTCAGGCTTGTCTCCAACCAGCCTTACCTCTGATAAGTCAGTTCATCTCTCCAGGCACTAGTGTCTTTTTTTCTCCCCCCACTGAAATGAAGCCAACCCCTTTTGCCACTTGTCTACTTTATAGGAATGCTCTAAAAATTAATATTCACTGTGAAACCAGGAGAGCCTCAGAGGAATGATCCTATCTCAGTACGAAGCATTATCAGTTTTGTTTTGCCTGCCACTCTGAGTTGGCAATGATATATTGTTCAGAATCTTTCTAAAAATCTCCCTTCTTTTTCTGAACCCCATGACCAATAATGATGGGAAACAGTGTACTGGAATAAATCCAAGAAAGAAATAATTTTGCCTGTTTATCAACTCAGCCAATAGGGTTTTTTTTTTTTTTTTTTTGCGGTACGCGGGCCTCTCACTGTCGTGGCCTCTCCCGTCGCGGAGCACAGGCTCCGGACACGCAGGCTCAGCGGCCATGGCTCATGGGCCCAGCCGCTCCGCGGCATGTGGGATCTTCCCAGACCGGGGCACGAACCCGCGTTCCCTATATCGGCAGGCGGACTCTCAACCACTGCGCCACCAGGGAAGCCCCAACCAATAGGTTTTAAAGCGACTACGATCATTTTAAGTGGTTCAGTGATGGTATAAGCTATGTACTATTGAAGGAGCTTCAGTTGCTGACAATCTTATCCTTCCTTGCCCAGGTTTTTCTTAGTGTTAAAACTGGTATAGAGAGGAAAATGAAGATTTGAGTCTCAGGGATTTGGGGAGACGAATCATGCTGAGGAGCTACGTGATTTTGGTTACTAAATGTTTGTAGAATCTGTCCTCACCCTTTCCATCCCTAACACCCCATTTTGATTCAGGATCTTATTGTTTCTTGCCTGGATGTCTGGAGCAGCCTTGGAAGTGGTCCTCTTGACTCTAGTGTTATCTGTTAAGCAATCCTCTATACTGCTGCTGACAGTACTTCCGAAAAGAAGGCTTTGGCTTCTTGGAGCCTCCACTGCCCAGTAGATACAGTCCAGGTCCTCCCGGGGAGGGACTTCCATGCTGTGTTCACACCGTAGCCGCCTGTATCTCCAGCTTCAGCTCCCATCATTCCCTGCCTTACAGATTCTTGTTCAGCAAAAGCAAACTGCATGTCCTTTCCCGCCATGGACAGTGCTGCTATTTGCCTTTGAACTTTTACCCTTGCTGCCCTCTCTGCCAGGACTATCTCAAAGCAAGCAGACAAAAACAGACAAACAGACAAGGAGCGCCCATAACTCCTTATTCACCCTTCAGAACTCAGATCATGTGGCACACACCCTGTCCCCCTTTTCCCCCTTCCCCTCTTTCTCCTCTGGGGTGTGCCTGTCTTCTGGATTCTTCCCCTCTGATAATCTGGGCAAGGCTATAGCATTAAGCTGACATGTAATGTTATATGCATCTTGATATATGCTTGTCTACACCCTGAACAGTGAGCTCTCTGAGGAGAAGGAACTTGTCTTTTTCATATCTGTGTCCTAAGCAATACCTGCTTTAAGAAGGGATCCAGTACATAGCTAAGCACACACTTCTTAAGTAGCTCCTAGGTGTAAGGCACTATGCTAGGTGTTTGGAGAAAGTTTCTAATACTAGGCTGTTCAAAGAGAAAAACTGTTTGATAAGCATATCAATGCATACTTGTAAAGTCTTTATTTTCCTGAATGAAAGATCCAGAGTTATGCAAATAATTAGCAGTTGGGGGAACTCTGTGTCAACAGCGGGCCATCTGGCTGTGTGAAGTCATAGCAGGTTGCTTCTCTTTGCTGCCACCACTCTGGGGCCCAGGGTTTTCTTGTAGCTGTGGCCTTGGGTATAGAGACCTCCCCCTTCTCTGAAGTTCTCTGCCTTGTATTCTGTTGCCATGGCAACAACCCACTTTCATTCTGGAACTTCACGCATGGGAGAGGGAAACCCTTTACTAACATGACATACACGATGAAGGTTATTTAAAAAATAAGTTGACAAGGTTAGTCATCAACGTATTATGCTAGTTCCACAAATTCCGATTTAGTGGTAGGATTGTTTGTTAGGTATTTCTGAAAATATTGAAAAATGGATTAGTGTCAGCATATGAGATTTGGTGTATCCTTTGTTTAAATATTGGTCTATGTGTCTGTTGTGATTCTTTTTTTTTTTTTTTT